ATCTTCAATTGCTTCTTGAAGCAATTCTGGACATTCTCTGGAAGAAATACCACGAAAGGCCGACAATAAACTCGTACGAAATAGATGCACTGCTATGTCAAATTGAAAAATTAAGGATTATTGGCTAGAAACACTAAGCAACACTAAGTGGTCACCGTACAAAACCACGAACGCTAGGTGTAGGTACTTGTTAGTTTTTTTTTTGAATTTGCATAACATTTTAATTGTATTTGTAAATAATAATGAACTGCTAAAACTAACATAATTCAAAGACGGCGTGTTTAAAAGATGTGAATCAAGATTACAATAATTTTAAGAATCAAATATTTAACTTACTGATAGCCTAAACTCTCATGCAACGTTGTATTTAAACCACAACGGCTCCGTGGCGCAGTGGCTTAGCAATTGAGTTGCAGCGCTATGGACCGCGGGCTCGAATCCCGCACGGAACAATATTTGTATGGCCTACAAATAATTGTTCCGGGTCTGGATGTTTGACCTTGTGCAATATATGTTTGTACACTGCCCCCACAATACAAGAGAAAATCCTAGTGTGGAGGTTACGTTTTAAAAAAGAAAGAAAATAATTTAGAAAGCAATTCAGTGTCATTTTTCACTATTCTAAAATCGTCACAAAAAGGTCCTCGGCACTTGTTGGCTCACTAAAGTAAACTAATGATTTAATACATCCCCATAAAAAAAGTCAAGAGGAGTCAAATCAGCTGATCTGGGAGGTCAGTGGCCTGGCCGCCGCGACCTTTATAAGGCACTCCAAACTCTGTATTTGTAAAGACTTTAACATACTTGAAATAAGGTTCAATTTTCTTTATTTTGTATTGAATGACGGAATTTGTATTAATACAAGTAAAACTCGCTTTTAAAAGTCTTATTGCCTTGAGTTACGGTCCATTTCAGTTTATTTTGACTGTAAATTAGTGTGGTTTAGGCGTGACTGTAAATTACGTAGTTTCAATTATTTTTGGGATAAAAAAATTACCTATATTAAAAATGATAGAAACCGATTCAGTAAACGATTCTCAACAAACTACTTTCACAAAGTGCGTTAATTATGTTACGTGTTGTCAGAATGTGTCAAAGAAGGTACGTATGGCAATTCATAGTGCTGTTTTAGTCCCTACTTTAATGTATGGTAGTGAAAGTTGGGTCTGGCAGAAGAAGCATGAGAATAGAATAAATGCTGTAGAAATGCGGTCATTAAGGAGTATGCTAGGGCTGAATCTGAATGACAGGGTGAGAAATAGTATGTTAAGAGAAAAGTGTGGTTTGCAAGATGACGTTGTGACCAAGATTAAAGAAGGAATGCTTCGGTGGTTTGGTCATGTAGAAAGAATGAACGAGGAAAGAGTGACAAAGTAAATTTATGTTTCAGAAGTGAACGGCAGAGTCGGGAAGGGATGCCCTAGACGAAGATTTATCGACCAAATCGGCGATACATTGAAAATGGGCCAGATTAGGAGTACCCTTAACCGACGAGCGTGTATGCGTAGATATATGGATGTAAAGGAGGCGAGAGAGGTGTGTCAGGATCGCGCCAAATGGAATACTGTAGTCTCTGTCTACCCCTCTGGGTGACAGGCGTGAGTGTTTGTGTGTGTTTGTGTTGTATACTCAATATCACTAAACGTAAACACAGGTTTTTATCAAGACAAGTGACCCATCAAGATTGTTTTCTTAGTACCGACGTACCTACCTAAAGTTTACATTTTAGTGTCCACGACGCAGCAATGATTTGTGACAGTTTGTTGTATTGTAGGTTGTAGGTAAAGTAACAGTAGGTATCTATGATAATCCTACATAATATACCTAGTTTGTCCGCCGCAAAAGTCGTCGAATAAATAATTAAACTGTTTTGTAAATCTTTATTGATTATTTATTTATTTATAAGATGTTCATTGAGAGCCGTGGTAGTTCAGATGTTTAGCGCTCGCTGTAAGTATCACAGTACGCGATGAACCCGGGTTCGATCCCCGCCGGCACCAATGAAATTGGTGCAATTTATTTATCACATTTTAATTATTTTTATAAATACGTTTAAAAATGAAAATATAAGTTTTGTAATTAAATTATTATTACTGAATTAATTACACAATTACTGACATTGTTTCCTTTTACGTCTGCGGTTTGTAATTACCGCCTCTATAGCTCAAAATAAATTATTCCTAATACACAGAAAAATAGTTAGGTACTTATGATACTATGTGGAAAGTTGGTTTTTACTAACTCGTAGACGAATCTAATCCCAATTTACGCATGTGTGTCATACAACGTTTTTCAACACATTTGCAAGAAAACAGTACCTACTATAGGTAACGAAACAAACTTTTTGTTCTTAGATATCAGTTGGAAAGTCGGTTTTTCTGGGCTGTTTTGTTTTGTTAGACTGATATCTCGCAGGTCAACCTAGGAGGTTGTCGGTTGCTTATTTTTTTATTTTTATTTAAAATTTCTTCTGTAATATAATATAATTATAAAAGTAAAAGAAAGTAAAGTCTATATACGTCCCACTGCTGGGCACAGGCCTCCTCTAATTTCTGAGAGGGTTTTAAGGCAAGGAAATGTCCGCCGTGCTGCCTCAATGCGTGTTGGTGAACTTTATGCCGGGTTTCCACGCTTGCCAAGTCTCGGCAAGCATCCACAAGCACAAGTGTGTAAAGAGGGCATTTGGCTTGGCTTGCGTGAGCTTGTGGACGCTTGTCACCGATCCGGGCTAGTGTCGGTTTTTGGACACAGATCAAAGGGCGCTTGCGGCAAGCGCTTGCAACGCATTCACACGTTGGTGCGCGTTTAGTAGAAATTGTGATTTCGCGACAAGCGCATGTTTAGTTCTTTGTTTAAAATGAGTGACTGGTCGAACGAAGAGAGTTTATCGTTTCTGGAATATTACCAGACCGACTCGTCTATCTGGAACCCCAAAGACGTTAATCATAAAAATAAAAAGAAAGTTGCAAATGCTTGGAGTCGTCTTGCCGAGTTAACGGGAAAGCCAGTAAAAGAATTAAAAGCCAAAAATTCCTTGTTTTTGTATTACTTTGCTTGTATTTCAAATAAAAGTATGTTAAACTAAACGCAATAGCCGACACAAGTTCGGTTTCCGCCATGCTTGGGTTTACGTAGCACACTGACGCATTCACAAGCATGGAAACGACTTCCAAACGCCAAACGAGATTTGTGGACGCTTGGGGCTTGGAGACGTTTTCCGAGGCTTGGCAAGCATGGAAACCCGGCATTAATAAATATATATTTTTTTTAATTTCTCAGACATGCACACCCGGGTTAGATCCCCGCCGGCACCAATGAAATTGTTAATAATAATAAATAATCAATGCATAAACATGTTTAACTAAGAATTCAGTGTATGTATTATGATTATAACATAATATACTATTGGGGTGTCTGAGGATGTGCGTTATTTATGTTAGATGTTGTGTATATAAATATAAGGGGGTGAAATGCGGTTTGAAAGGTTATATGAGTCCTATATTTTTGAAGTTAGACATATGAAAATCGGCATTTAGATTATTAACTTTAAATAATAAATAATCTGTGTAAATTATTTCGAAGTGTTTTAATTTTTTTTTAATTTAAAGCACTTTAAAAACAAAAACACTGTTTCACGATATCAAAATAATAATCACAAACAAAACTAAAAATATATATAAAAAACATAATAATTGATAACATTGCAACCTGAACTACTTATTAAGTCACTAGTCACTAGAATTAAACAATTAAATACAAAAACAAAACACACATTTAAAAACAGAATAAAAACAGAATAAATCAAATTTTTACATTGCAGAGCCATGCTGCAGCTGTATTACTGGTATAGTTGTAGCACGAATGGGTCGGCTCGACCGGGGAAGGACCACACACTCACAAAATACCAGCTTAAAATAGCACCTTAACGCTGTAAACGAGGCATTCCATCTTAGTCCTCACGGGTAACAACGCATCTGCATTTTGATTTAGATGTAGATGTCTACGGGCCACAGCAACCGTTTACCATCAGGTGGACTGTGTGCTCGTTTGTCACCCTTATCTTATAAAAAAAACAATAATCTCAAACAAGATTCAAAAATATACTTTAAAGAAACATAATCAATAACATTTCAACCTGACTTACTTAGTCCTCACAATTAAATAATCAAAACAATAACCACAAATAAAATTAAAAAAAATATTAATTATAAAAACATAATAACATTGCAACCTTGTTGCAACTTGACTTATAGGTACTTTTATGTCACAACTCACTACTTAATAAGTTTCATTTCAGCATTTGATTTATGAACTATAAAGTATTATGGTAACCGGGTAGGGTTAATTCGTATTGACATGTTTGAATCTCCTTTTGTAATTGTTCTGTGCGATTCCATGTGTGCATAGACCAAACCGTTATCCTTAGGGGGTGGAACAAAGCGACGGACGAAGTGGAAAACTACAACAGGTTCTTCTTATTAAACTGGAAAACTTTTCCCAGGGAATATGAAGAATTTATAAAGTTTTATGTTTCAACTTTCCATTTAAAAAGTTCTCTTTGTTTATTTTTCGATTTTACTCATACAAAGTCAGCTAGACTTTGTATGAGTAGTCGAAAAATAAAGTTCATATTTCGATCGCATGCTCCTGAGAAAAGATCTCATGGTTTCGCTATGGGTTTCCGCTTTGTTCGTCGTTTTGTTCCTTCCAGCCTGTATAGGAAGAATGATAAGTAGTCGTTTACTTCTTTTTATAAATATTATTGACGTAGGTGTTAAGTTGGATCCACGTTCTGTTTTGAAGAACAGGTTCTTTTTTTAAAACTGCCATACATTTTGCTTTGCCTGGGTTTATTTTTTTCTGTATATAGGAATGTAGGTGTTTCTTGACTACTTTTATTTCTTCGTCGGTCCATTTTCTATGTGTGACTTTTCGTCTATGTATTCTCTCATCTTCACTTTCAGTTTCACTTGAACTGGACACTTTTACAGGATGTTGCTTTATTCTTTTTTTTCAGAGTTAGCTTTTATCTCATCGTCACTTTCATCTGTATTATTCTTCCCTTTCTTAATTTTGCCTTTTTTCTCACTTTCAGTTATTGTGGAAACTTTGGTAGGTCGTGTTTTTTGAAATATTTTAGGTTTCTCTAAATTATCATCTCTGTTAGCTTCAATATTTTCGTCACTGTCCGAGAATGAGCTGGATTGAGTAGATACTTGCACTTGAATTCGTTTCACAAACTTTGTCGATTTTTTGGAATTCAATTGGTTCTCTGGTTTAACATTTTCATTATTATTCACTTCGGTCTTTTTGTTTTCACGCGCTTCTTCTACATTTATAGTTTTAAGTTTTTTTATATTTACATTCAGTATCTTTATTATCCTTTTCGATGTTTTCAACTATAGCATTACTTATGAATATGAGATCTTTGTTGCCTCTGTTGAGATTTTTGGTTGTATCTAATGTTAGTTCCTTTTTATTAAAACAGCTGTCAGGACTGTCCTTGTTTTGGTGTTGAGAAGTAATTATTTCTATATTATTTTGATTTGTTTGTGATGTATTTGTGTTTTCAAACTCCGCAATCGGATTTTCATTTTCTTGGTTTCGTATGATAATTTCTGACTGTGAAGTAACCGTCTTTATCTTATTTTGTGATCTAATTATATTTTCATACTCTATCAATTGCGTCCCAACAACCGCTTTTTGTAAGACCTGCATAGGCAATCTGTAATTTTAAATGTATTTTAATTTTAAAAATTATGATAAAATATTATGTAGTACATCGATTTCTAATAGTTTAATCATCCAAGTTTTCTAATCATCATCGTCATTACAACCTTACACAAGTCCACTACTGAACATCCTCCTAGATAGACTGCCGCAAAGCCTGGTCCTAAACCACATTCCTTGTCATGAGTTTTTCATCTATTTTCAAGTTATAATTAGTATTACTAAGTTATGGTTTTTGCTTGTATATACTATATTTATTGCTAGTTTTTTCTTCTTTCTCAAAAAATAATTGAATAATTACATAAGGTGTCCTTAATATACATCGAATGTCAGAGAGAAAAGCTAGTACATCTTTTGCTAAACTTTAAAATCTAAAACCAATTTTAAAACAGCCGAATTGATCATAACTCCCATAGGTATAAAATAAGTTATGATCTAATTAATGGTATTTATTCCAGTTTATGACAGCCCTGATTTATATTACGCCGCTAAAATTAGGCACATACTTCTTATTAGGTACATTATACCAAATAATAACAGCATATACAAATAATAAATAAATAACAGCCTGACGGCTGACATTGTGCACTCCATACATTTCGTATATCTAGTTACAGCCCCATTAATTTCCGCTAAAAGAAAATAAATAACTATAATAACTGCATTACTATGTCATAGTCATATTCATACAAATCAAAAAGCCTATATATGAGATAATGTAAAGTAAGCGTTTCTAACGTGGTATAGCCATGCTGCAGCTGTATTACTGGTATAGTTGTTGCTGGGAATGCCTCATTTCAAGTAAAAAGGGTCTCCGGTTCTCTACACTCACCATACGAAACACAGCAGCGTTAAGCTGCTATTTTACGCTGGTATTCTGTGAGAGCGTGGTCCTTCCCCGGTCGAGCCGACCCATTCGTGCTACAACTTAAAAAAGTCTTTATGTAATTACGGAGAATTTTTTAGGTGACAATATTTATAGTTAAGACTACTAGAAATCTTATTTACGAAGTAAAAAGGCGAAAAAGCTGGAATTAGGGGCATAGCTGGGATTAGGGGCACCCACCCTATAATTAATTTTTACATATAAAACCAACATGCACGGCCGTAAGTACACCTGAGTATATGATTTTAATTCTAATTCGATACCTACACGCTTTCCCGAGATAAAGGGTCTTGACAGGCAGACGGACGGACGGACAGAAAGACGGACAAAGACGCCATCTTATGCTGCGACGTCATTAAACAAAACTTCTGAAATTTTGTAAATATGGTACCTATGTTTAGTCTTTTTACGTACTTAAATAAAATAAATAAATATCCTGGACATTTCACACATAAGTAGTCCCTGATCTCCCTTAGTGTTCTGTGAAACCTACTGTACTAGGTATGGAGGCCTGAGAAATACATAGATAAGTAGGTAGTTATTTAACACCTAGACACAGAGCAAACATCAGTGTTCGTCACACAAATGTTTGGCATGTTTGGACATCGAACCGACGACCTCAGGATCCGCATCCAGAGCTACTAACCACAGAGCGAAAAGGTCAGTTAAATAGTTATTGGTTATCTACTTTTATTATTCTGATTCGGCTTCTGGCAGGCAGCACAGTTATTTAACCTACCTAAACACAATCACAACTCTTTTGGTGGTAAAAAAACTGGTAGGTAGGTAGGTAGGTAAGTCCTTAAGTATTATTATGTGAATACCTATTTATTATCATACGTGTCGATCATGGATGAGGGGGTGCGTTTCCACTGAGGCGGTCTTTACTCCGCCCCCCTTCATTTGAGCCGGGATCACATCCGGATTAACTCATTAATATAATACCTACATAATATCGAGTTTCTAAATAGATAATAAAATACTCACCATCATCTTCTGATTGGAAAATTTACTCCACTCACACGATAACAAAAACCCGCGCAAACGTCTTGCCGCAATCAAATTTGCTAACGCATATTTCTTACCTTCTTACTCTAACGAAATAGTTCTCTGTCACACGCAGAACGCGACGTTGCCGCTTTGTGTTTGCGTACCTATATGTCAGTTTAGGCTCTGGATCCACTTAGCCTAGGTAAATTTCGCATATAAGTTAAATATATTCTGGATGTAAGAAATCGTATTCAGTATTTTATTTATTTTTTCGACCGTTGATGGACCAACAAATATTGGTCAAATCGCTGACGAGTATGTTGAAAATTAGTAACCACAGATCCACCGACGTCACACGCGCATCAAGGATTGATCAAAGTATATTATTTTGCGCGACGCAGAGCTGAGTATATACGTAAAATAGGTGGATCAATATTTGTTCTAACTTCTCACTGGAGCAACATTTACCGTGAAAGGTTCAATGTATATATATATATATATATATATATAAAATCAGCGTATTTCCTTTTTTAGTAGTAGTAACCATAGACAACGTCCAAAAAGTAGAATAATATGCACAAGCCGACTGTAGAATTCAATCGTGGAAAATAGCAGAAAAACTACAGATAAACAAATAATGCGTTGCAGAAACTACACGAACATTTGCTCATTGAAAAAACTTTATGCGCGTTTGGTACAGCGAATGTTCAATTCACTCATTTATAGGTGGTGGATCTACTTTTTTGTCTAAGAGGCCATCTAAGTAGGTATCTCCTTCTCCCTTTTACATATCTCTGCCGCCAAATAGAGTGTGTTCTGCTGTATTCCAATCTGGAAAATATAGAGTTATAATAATAACAGGCATGTGTACACCGCCATCTTAAGAGATACAAGATTTGTAAAAATTTACCACCCATTGCGTAGCCCGGACCAGGCCCCGAGTTACTTCTTCCTATTTTCATAATTAGAATACAAGTTACGGGGACGAAGATTTTTAGATTTGGAGAATTCATTTTGAAGATCAAACTAAATTATATTAGACTGTAAGGTATTTTACTCACGGCGTGAATAATTCATTTCACTTAAAGGTTATATTAAGATTAAGGTTAGCAAAAAAATCATACTTTTCCTTATTAAGTAAACAGAAACAGAACTGCCCCTGGTAAGCTACATCTTTTCAATAAAATGTTGTTGTAATGTCAATTGTTACTAGTTTCAAGCGTCTTGCTTATAAGCGAACTGCTGTGTACATTATTGCTAGGCTATTCTTATACTTCTTTTCCATAAAGATTCTAGTTCACTGTTGGATATGAGGAACTTACGTATAAAAAAGGATTGGCCGTGATTGAAGAATTTGCAGTTTAGAAGGAAGCTTGGTTTGGGTTGGCATCCAAACATATCCCTTATTTTAAAACTGGCCCGCATCTAAACATATAATAAATCTGTAGAAAATTCGAGTCTGTAATTCTAATACTTTGTGGAAAAAACAATTCCAGAGGACTAAATAAACGTCACTGAGGCCAAATTGATGGTTAGTAGTAGTAGTAGTTAGAATTTTTGTCTGTCTGTCTGTGTGTGTGTTCCCGATTGACGCACAAACTATATGATAGATTTCCATGAAATTTTGTGTGTAGGTAGGTAGAGACCCGAGGCAACTTATAGGTTACTTTTTATCCGATTACGGAACCTCAAAAAGTAAAGGTTAAGTATTTTCCTTCCTCAAGATGTTAATTTCTGTTTTGTAATATAGATTGTTGATGTTTTGTTTTTAAATAAATAATATATTTATAAATAAAGCGTGAAAATATTTTAACCGTTGCATAATAGTTTTAACGACGCCGACAATCTAAGTTTATTTTTATCAAAACAGTGCCATCTAACGTGAAATTCAAAAAGTAGTAACATTTTACCTCTAGTAACTAATAAATAAAATAAAAGGTATAGCTTACATTTATATGCTTTGATAATTTATTTCATAATTATTTAAAATTTTAACATCCATTTTTTAGTTTTTTCGTTATTTCATTTTAGTAGGAATGAATAAAGTTTATAGTAACTAATTACTACTTAAATAGTAAATAATAGAGACTTCTATCGAAAATCGTAAAATATGAGATATTTCTAAGTTTAATTTCTACTTTATAAAAAAAGTTTTCATTATCTACAAATAAACTAATAAAACTATCACTATCCATATAGTTTAAATAAAGAGATTTTTATATATTTATTAGCTAGATCTTAGAATTAATAGTATCATAAAGTAGTTAATTATGGCACGAAATGGTGGCATTTAATGAAATTAACATTGGTTTTGACTATATCATGATATAGCTTGACCATTAACAACTAAACACAGCACTGCTATTTCTTCATATTGTTATATCGTAAAATAATTTCATTACACACCGCTAGCAGCGCTGATAGCATATTTTTGACGGATGCAGAAGTTTTAATATAATATATATCACTTTATGCCTAATTTGTGTATTATATAAATGTTGGCGGCTTCGTTGTGTGATTGGGCTACCCCAGTAGCACCTCAACTTATTGTTACTGTACTGTACTAGAGGTTACAGTTTCAGTTTTCATAGTTTTAATCTCATAATACCGCCATCTACTTACTGCTAAATAATTTACTAATAAGTAACTGATGAAATTAATGAGAATTCTATTGTAATGTTTTAAAAGTGTTAAATGAGAGATAAAGACGTGTTGTTGATTCTAAATCTTTAATTATACTGATCCAACTTATTCTACTTAACACTAATATATTTTGTCGCGGGGACTAAACTACACCGACAAAAAAAAATTAAAAAATATTATCTATTTTTTATCAAACCTAAAAACTATTCTAAACGTAATTATAGAATATCTAAATGAAAACTATAATCTAAGGCATAATACCTAGATTTATGAGGGTGTTTTTCTAAACCCTATGGCACGCAAAAATGTGCAGTCACATTAGTTATAGAAATTAACATAATCAGACATAATTATGTAACATAACAGAATATAATATTATTATGTTTTAATTTTCGCAAACATTTATGTTATTTTTTACTCGTATCCTTAATCATCAAGACAAGTCATCTAGACTTCGGATATTTAATAA